GCTGGGGTCACACACTCTTCATGTAAGTTTCCAACCAATCCTCTTTCAGAGCTTCCCGCCTCCTGCCCAGCCGCTACTGTCAGAGAGACTTGGTGCCTCCAATTCTGGAGACTGCCTTGAGTTCTGTGACTCAGAACAACTTCCTTCCCCTGTAGGCATCAAGGATGGGATCCTCAAAGGCAGTCAGGCACTCCAGTCCTTCCAACTCCCAGAATGTTAGAGACATGCGTTCCCTGCTGTAGAAACCTCTGCCATTCCCTTTATCTCTGAAGACAATCGCACTTGACTGTCAGCTTAGCATGGTTTTAGGAGGGAAGGAAGATAAACCGCTGTGTTTAAGCTGCCGTGTTAAATGGGGGACCCCTGATCCTTTCTCTTTTTCTTTTTTAGAGAGTGGATCTCACTCTGTTATCCAGGCTGGAATGCAGTGATGTGGTCATAGCTCATCTCAACCTTGAACTCCCAGGTTCAAGTGATCTCCCTGTCTCAGCCTCCTGAATAGCTGGAACTATAGCACCTAGCTAATTTTTAAATCTTTTTGTAGAGACAGGGGCTCACTATGTTTCTCAGGCTGGTCTTGAACTCCTGGCTTCAGGGAATCCTCCCACCTCAACCTCCCAAAGTGCTGGGGTTACAGGCGTGGGCCATGGTGCCCAGCCACCTCTGGTCTTCCCTCAGCTTGCTTTCATTAAAGAATAAACACATGCCTTGCAAAATGCTTTTAAACATTTTTAAGGAGAAGTTATTGGTGGAAGCAAAGGTCATGAAATCAGAAAAACAGAAGTAATGCATGCACACAGTGGAAGACTCACAGTAACACAAAACCAGACACACAGAGAACACCCATATGGATGAGTCTCAGGCACCACGTGGAGAGGCAAAACCACACATGGAAGTTCCAGAAGGGGCAATATTAACCTATGGGGTTAACAACAGAACAGTAGCCACCTCTAGGAGTGGGCATTGGGTGGGAGGAAACCCCAGGGAGTCTTCAGGGGAACAGAAAACGTTCTACATCTCATTGTGGGCTATAATGACACAGATGCATACATACATTAAATTCCACCAAGCTGTATTGTTCAGCTTTTTGTGCACCTTACACACACTGTTGTGGTTGTTTTATACTTCAGTAAAAAAAAAAAAAGAAAGAAAATCAGAAGGAAATTGACATGTCTTGGTTCTTGCTGTGTACTAGAGCCTGACATGGTCCGCTTTTAAAAATTCATTCATTTCGCGAGCACCTACTATGTCCTAAGTACTATCTAGGTTCTGAGGACTCAGCGATGAACAAAAACAATTAGGCACAGTCCCTGCCAGATGGCGCTCACAGTTAGTGTTGGAGCCAGCATCAAATAACCACACGCATGGAAGGAAAATGACCACGATGACAAGTGAAGGGCAGTGCCAGTGTGTGGAAGAAGGACTCTGTCCTAGCCTAGGGGGCGAGTCAGAAACGCTTCCCTGAGAGATCATGTGTAGACAGAGGTCTCCGGCTGAGGAGGGCTATGCAGCTGAGGGGTAGGAGGGCACGTCACGCAAGGGAACAGCATGTGCAAAGACTGAGCCAGGGAGAGGCATGGCATGTTAAGGAGGGCAGGGAGCGAGGCCGAGCAGGGCACTGCTGATGTGAGAGAGCAGGGGGCCTGAAAACAACCATATGCAGACAGGGAAACTGAGGCTGGAGAGGGGAGGTGGCTGCCCCAGGCCCCCAGTAAGTGCAGTGGGGGTTGGAAGCCAGCTTTGTCTGCCCTCTCTGCTCCTGAGACAGAAAGGATGTCCGTGGGATTGTGGGCAGGAGAGGCCGCCTGGGTTTTCATCAGGAGCAAGAGGCCAGGCTGTGGCTGCCTACCAGCTGTGCTCACGCTGCTGGTCTCTCAGCTCCACAGGGCCTGTGGACAGGGCCGGCTATGAGATCCTGCCCTGAAGAGCAGTACTGGGATCCCCTGCTGGGCACCTGCATTTCCTGCAAAGCCATTTGCAGCTGTCAGAGCCAGCGCACCCGTGCAGCCTTCTGCAGTGATTTCTGGGGCCTGAGCCCAGGAGACAGTAGGCACACCCCCGTCCTTTCCCTGCAGGGCACCCTCTGGCCCCACAGTCAGGTGGCTGAGGAAAGGGTGACAGGAGAAGGTGTACAGTGTGGCATCTCTTACCTCTCTACCTTTCTGCTCTGGTCACACAACCTCCTGAGGTTCACACAGTCGCCTGAGGTCGGGAGTTCCAGATCAGCCTGACCAACATGGAGAAATCCCGTCTCTACTAAAAATACAAAATTAGCCAAGTGTGGTAGCACATGCCTGTAATCCCAGCTACTAGGGAGGCTGAGGCAGGAGGATTGCTTGAACCCGGGAGGCGGAGGTTGCAGTGAGCCGAGATCCACCGCTGCACTCCAGCCTGGGCAACAAGAGTGAAGCTCTGTCTCAAAAAAAAAATTATATGAGATCTTGGCTGTGCTTTAAAATATACAAGCCCCCCCCAAAAAAAATGTTTAGAAAAGTATAAGGCAGTATTTAAACAATTTGTGAAGCTGATGACCAGTGCAGAGGGCATCGCTGTGCTGTCCTCTTTATGTACATGTGTGATAAATTCTGTAATAAAAAATTTCCAAAAGAAAGAAACAACAGACAGTGACAAGGGAGGGCCTAGTTCTACCGGATGGTGAGAGGAGACCCCTGACATTTGGGCTGAGATCTGAAGATTAGGTAGGAGGGAGCCGAGAGAAGATGATAGAGAGAATGCATTCTAGGCCGTGAGAATAGCATGTGCAAAGGACCTGAGGCAGGAAAGAAGGTGGCATATTTGAGACACTGAAAACAGGTGAGTGCCTGACACATAGTAAGTCCTTCAGTGAATACTTGTTGAGGGGAACTCAGAGAGGCTAAGTAACTTACCCAAGATCACACAGTGGAAAAGTGGAGATGTCACAGTGGCATCCTGGTTTGAACCCAGGACTCTGACTCTTAAATCATGGCCTGAACCACTATCTATTAATAAATTAGAACATTCATTGGTTCATCCCACAAACATAGATGGCATGCTCCCGCCCCACAGAAACAGGACTCTGGCGTGGCCCTTCAAGGACAGTGTCACCTAATGGGAGAAATGACTATGTGTCAAGGTAGAAGGCCACAGTTGGGAGAGGCCACCTTCAGCTGATGGGCAGGGGAGCAGGGAGGTGTCCTTGGAGGAAGCGCCATCAGAGGCAGATTGTTAAGGGGCCACAGAATGCAGAAATCAGATGAGGGGAGGGTGCCTAGAAGAAAGGGCAGCATGAGCAGAGGCGCAGAAGTGGGATACGCAGTACGGAGGACCGAGTCCTGGGTGGGGGCGGGGCAGGTATTAGGTCAGGCAGGGAGGGCCTGGTCTGGGGCGCTCCGGCACCACCTGCAAAAGCGCCACCTCCAACAGGGGAGGAGGTCACAGAAAGCCCCAAGGACACCACTGCTGGGCCAACCCTGTGTGACACAGAGTGGAAGTGTCGGTTTCTGTGCTGTTCAGTGGAGCCCTGGGGATGGGCCAGGGCAAGGGGGATCACTGGCCCCATGTGGGCCATCTGAGTTTTCCCCAAGTCCCCAATTCCATGATCTTTTAGGTCCTTCCTTTACTCTGTCAAAAGCACAAGGATGGGTGTGTGTTTGTTTTGTGAAGAGGCTCAAATGAATATTCTACTCAAGCCTTCCATTAAGTGAGCATTTAGTATGTGCCAGGCACTACAGCTCTGCCAACAACCCCAAGTAGTCAGTGCAGTTATTTTCCCTATACTGGACATGAGGAAACTGAGTCATGGAAAGGCTAAGACCACACCATCTGCAAGTGGTACAGCCGGGATGGCCCCAATGGAAATTTGGTTCTGAAATTTGGGTTCTTATCCAGAATCCTGCACTGCCTCTGAAATGTGTCCTTCACATATCTGTGTGAGCCACGTTTTCACATAAATACCTTATTCTAAAGACAAAGAAAACTTGCCTTTTTCATGTAAAAACTTTCATGTAGAAATATTCTGAGGCTAGGCTGGGCACAGCAGTCACGCCTGTAATCCCAGCACTTCGGGAGGCCACAGCAGATGGATCACATGAGGTCAGAAGTTTGCGACCACCCTGGCCAACATGAAAAAACCCCACCTCTACTAAAAATACAAAAATTAGCCAGGTCTCATGGTGGGCACCTGTAATCCCAGCTATTCAGGAGGCTGAGACAGAAGAATTGCTTGAACCTGGGAGGCAGAGGTTGCAGTGAGCCGACATCATACCATTGCACTCCAGCCTGGGTGACGAGTGAAACTCCCTTTCAAATAAAATATATTAAAAAAGAAATATTCTGAGGCTTTAGATAATTGATTGTTCCAAACAGATTTCTTTACACTTTCAAAGTTGGGTCCACTGTGCTCTCTTAAGGCAAGTGTGATTGGGCTTTACTTTCCTTGGCTTCTGCTCCTTGGCACTGATACCTGTGTGAGCTGCTGTAATTCTCATTTAGTCTTCAGAGAGAAGAACTATTACTCATGTGAACTTTTCTACTTTCCTTCCGGCTCCCTCCTCCAACTTGCCAAAGAGGATTCTGGTTTTTCCGCTTCATTCCTTATGCTAATTTGCAATATGTTTCTCCTTGATCAGGCTTGAAAAATGCAGTAAAGGTCTTATGTAACAATGTAATCTAGATCTCAATTTTAAATGATAACTGAAATTCTTCATACGTTTGGAAACTAAGAAATGCACTTGTAAATAATCCATAGGTCAAAGAAGAAATAATAATGAAAAATAAGTACATTTTGAACTAGATAGAGGAAAAATACCACACATCAAAATGCAGTGCAGCTAAAATGGTACTTAGAGGACAATGCATAGTTTTCAATTCGTATATTGTAAAAGTACTTGGCTTACTCTGGGATTGCTTTCTGGAATTTTACCATGATTTTTTTTTTAACTTTGATGTCCTTTGTAGCCAAACCTAGAGCTCCTGCTGGTCTGTGTTACCCAGGAGTATCACACATTTCTGTCTCCCAGGGTTACTCAGCTGCCGCAAGGAACAAGGCAGGTTCTATGACCATCTCCTGAGGCGCTGTGTCAGCTGTGCCTCCATCTGTGGACAGCACCCTAAGCAATGTGCATTCCTCTGTGAGAACAAGCTCAGGAGCCCAGTGAACCTCCCACCAGAGCTCAGGAGACAGAGGAATGGAGAAGTTGAAAACAATTCAGACCAAGGATTGGAGCACAGAGGCTCAGAAGCAAGTCCAGGTAAGCTATCTGAGGCAAACCTGCATGATGCCACGCAGGGTCAGAAAGAATGGGAAGCCTGATGCCAGGCCTAGAACAGGAGAGTCCACAATGCATGAAGCCCAGAGTCCAAGCAAATGGCCAGAAGCCAGGGAGGTCATCCCAGATAAAAAAAAAACAATGCAGGCAACATTTCCAGAAGCCTGTGGGCAAGAAGAAAGCAGGAGAAAGGACCTGCCATGTGAGGAAGAACCTTGTACTGGAAGCTGCTGAGGCGGTGTGAGTTCTCAAAGCATAGGCACAATCAAGCAGCAGACCCACCTGTGTGGGCACCTGAGTAACAGCCACTGCCTGCCCTCTGCCAGTGCTGCAGACTCCATTTATTTCTATTCTTATTTTATTTATAATTTCAACTTTTATTTTAGATCTGGGAGTGCCCATGTAGGTTTGTTACATGGGTATGTTACCTGATGCTGAAGTCTGGGGTACAAATGGTCTTGTTACCCAGGTAGTGGGCATAGTACCCGACAGGTAGTTTTCCAGCCCTTGTCCGCTCTCTTCCTCCCCCCTCTAGTAGGCCCCAGTGTGTGTTGTTTCTATCTTGATGTCCATCGGTATGCAATGCTCAGCATTCCACTTATAAGTGAGAACATTTGGTATTTTCTGCTCCTGCGTTAATCCACTTTGGATAACAGCCTCCAGCTGCATCCATGTTGCTGCAAAGAACATGATTTTTTTCTTTGTATGGCTGTATAGTATTCCATGGTGTATATGTACCACATTTTCTTTATCCATTCCGCCATTGATGGGCACCTAGGTTGATTCCATGTCTGCTATTGTGCTTAGTGCTGTAATGAACATACATGTGTGGTTTCTTTGGTTTTTTTTCCTTGGGATACATACCCAGTAATGGGATTGCTGTGCTGAATGGTAACTCTGTTTTAAATTCTCTGGGGAATCTCCAGACTGCTTTCTACAGTGGTTGAACTAATTTACATTCCACCAACAGTGCATAAGCGTTCCCTTTTCTCTGTAGCCTCGCCAGCAACAGCCATTCTTACTGGTGTGAGACGGACCCTCACTGCGGTTTTGATTTGCGTTTCTCTGATGATCAGTGATGTTGAGCATTTTCTCATGTTTGTTGACTGCTTGCATGTCTTCTTTTGAAAAGTGTCTGTCCATGTCTTCTGCCCCCTTTTTAATGCAGTTATTTGGTTTTTGCCTTTTGAATTGTTTAACTTCCTCATATATTAAGGATATTAGACCTTCACTGGGTGCGTATTTTCTCTCATTCTGTAGGTTGCCTGTTTACACAGTTGATAGTTTGTTTTGTGGTGCAGAAGCTCTTTAATTAGGTCACACTTGTCAATTTTTGGTTTTGTTGCAGTTGCCCTTGAGGACTTAGTCACAAATTCTTTCCCAGGATCAATACCCAGAATGGTATTTTCTAGGATTTCTCTAGGACTCTCACAGTTTAGGGTCTTCGTTTAAATCTCAAATCCATCTTGCATGTATGTTCTTCAGGGATGTCGGCCTGTAGTTTTCTTTTTTGTTGTTGTGTCTTTGCCAGGTTTTGATGCCAGAGTGAAGCTGGCTTTGCAGAATGAGTTAAAGAGGAGTCCCTACTCCTCTTTGGTTTTTTGGAATAGTTTCAGTAGAATTGGTACCAGCTCTTCTTTGTGCGTCTGGTGGAATCTGGCTGTGAATCCATCAGATTTCACTTACAGGCAAGGGAGGGGAGGTTTCCTAAGAATGAGAAGGCAAAGGTATTGCTAAAAAAGTTTATGTGGTTCATTAGACATTGCCAGAGGAAAAACATATTGTAAAAAGAAAAGACCTGGCACAGTGGCTCACGCCTGTAATCCCAGCACTTTGGGAGGCCGAGATGGGCCAATCACTTGAGGACAGGAGTCTAAGATCAGCTTGATCAACAAGGGGAGACCCCACCTGTACCAAAAATACAAAAATTAGCCAGATATGGTGGTGCACACCGGCAGTCCCAGCTACTTGGGAGGCTAAGGCAGGAAAATTGTTTGAACTCAAGAGGTGGAGGTTGCAGTGAGCCAAGATCGTGCCACTGTACTCTAGCCTGAGGACAAAGTGAGACTGTGTCTCAAAAAAATAAAAATTAAAAAGAATAAAACATAAAGAAAACGAAAAAACTTATGGCTGGAGATGGCCACTTCGGACATGGGAAGAAGTTTCCTGCTGAGCTGGGCATTGCTAAGTGTCAGGCATCGGAGAGGATCTAATTAATCCTCCCAGCAAACACCTCCTGGTGCACCTGCCCTGCTCTGTGCCATCAGAAAGGATGAGAGGGGGATGCCGTGTGGATCCATAAACACTAGCGATGGCATTTGCCCTGCTCTTGGCCAGTCCAGGAGAAACAGCAGGACTGCTCTTCTCAGGGGGCTGATGGGATCCTTTCCTTTGTAGTGACTTTCCTGTGATAACATTGTTTCCATGAGGCCAGGCCTCAGGGCCCAGGTCCCAAGGACAGAGCCTATGTGCCTGATGATGAGGTTGCCTAGCACCCCATTGTCCCTGCTTAGCCTGGCATCTCCAGCTCTACAGCCAGTTAGCTGCTGCTGCGTAACAAGCCATCCCCAATGCGGGGAGGTGTGCTTCCTCCTGAGTCGGGGGTCTGGCTGGACTCAGCTGTGCCCGGCTGGCTCTGCTCCATGTGCCTCTCATCCTCCTGGGACCAGTGGGCTGGCCACATGTGTCCGTCTCATGATGATACAGGAGCGCAGCAGACAGGAGCACGCAGCGTCTCCCACCCAGCCTGGGAACTTGCATTTCATCACCTCCGCTGCATCTCTTTCCAATCACAGTGCCAGAGGATTCAGGGGAGGGGAAACAGACGCCACCCCTTGGTGGCTGGAGCAAGCATGGGGAGGGGGGAATTTGTAGCCATGGTGAATTCCAAGGCTGTTTGTAATCTAACACAGCCTCTCCTGAGCAGAAGCGCAGATTCACATGGAGGGGGTGTAGATACAGAGGAGCTGACAAGCTCAGCCACAGAGGTGAGTGGCCATGACTGCCGCCCTGGTGTCTGGCCACCCTCATGCTTTCCCTGCATCCAGCGAGGCATTTGAAACTTCCCGCCAAACTGGAACCTTGCCTACCTCTGATACAATAGACGCTCCTTCGGGTCGTTCCTACCTACCTCACAGATGGAGAGGCAGTCTCAAATTTGCAGTGACTTGCTGGGAGTCACACAGCGAGTGCATGGCTGAGCCAGGATTTGAGCACAGTCTGGGGGTTCCAAAGTTTGCCCTCTCTGCAATAGCAAAATGACCCAGAGTAGCATCCACAAGACTATTGTTCCTTGTGGGGTGAACTATCACCCGTGGGACAAGGTGTGTCCGCCAGCCAAGCCCCCTTCCCAGAGGGCACTGGGCAGAACCTTGGAGCCTCATCTTAGCTCCAGGGATGGAGCCCCAGGCTGTGAGCATTGGAGGCCATGTGAGGACGTGTTGGTGCCACTGGGATCGGCATTACCATGCTTCACCCCGCCTCAGCTGCCACACTTCTGCCGTGGCACAGCTTTCGGTGGCTCCGTGACTGTTGCTGTGCACTGCCCTGCCTTGCACCTCTCCAGGGGCCCAGGTCTAAGGTCTGTTTTGCTCTGTCCTCTGATGCCTGCATGGGCTGGTGAGGAAGGAAGGGAGTTTGCTGTGGACCGCAAACAGGAAATACAGAGCTACATGGCCAGGGGAGGGACACAGAGGTGGACCTATTTGAGGACAGGGAGCAGAGGACACCATGTAACCAAGTTGTCCAGCTGCACACAGTGGAAGGGCTGACCTGTCCTCTGTCCGCTTCGTGGGCACCCTGAATTCTGCTGCCCCTCTCCAGCCCTGCCAGACCCCACCTCACCCCACTCCAGGTTTCTCCCGCATCGCATTCAGAACTGCCACTCCTTAGTGGGACCCAGGACCGTGGCAGGCTTGCTGTGCGTGGGAGGGGAGCGAACGAGGCAGGTCCTATCTCAGACCCGTGGTGCTCACTGTCCTGTGAAAGGTCAGGCAGTGGACAGGCTGGGCAGATGACACATTCCTCTTACTGCACCGGGGCCACGTAACCCAGCCTCAGGGGAGACAGAGACAAGGAGGGCTTCCCCAAGGAGGAGCTTTAGTGTAGGCTGGGCTGGGGTGTGGAGCGCATAGCCAGACCCCTAGTTATGTCCCTCAAAAGCTGTGTGGTCTGGAGTGAGCTACCAACCCTCTCTGAGTCTCGGTTCTGTGAGGCTGTTGTTCACCTTCACAGAGTCACTGTGAGGATGATTTGGGAGAATCCATTTTGGGGGAGCACGTGCTCTGTGCACTGGAATTGCTCATTCAAAAAGCAACCATGTTGAAGCCACACAGTGGGAATAGGGTTCCAGGCAGGGGCAACAGCATGTACAGGTGCTGCTAGGGGCAGGGAAGGTTGTGAGGGGCTCTGTGCTGGAGGCTGGGCTAAATCCCTTCTCCGGGGCTCCCAGCCTGTGGGAATGTGGTGGTCACTCCACAAAAGCAGGAGGGACCCCACCCCAGATCTAATTTGAAGGTAGAGGCTGACAGCTCCACATGCTCACCAAGAGGACATGGAAAGCCCTGCAGCTCACACATGGGGCTTCGTGGGGAGAGCAGGGCAGGCTCCCAAGCTGGACTGAAAATAGCCGGAGATGTTGAGCAGCAGAGGAGACTGGTGTGGGTTCTGTTGCAGCGACTCCAGGCTGATGTGAGGCGCTCCCTGCCTGGGCCCCGGGGCAGGTGCAGGGAGTGTCTGCCTCTCCCGGAGGGGAGGAGGTGGCCCAGGGAGCCTGCCCCAGCAGGTGGGGTGCTCATCTGTCTGGCAGAGGAGGAGGAGCACCAAGGGCAGGAAACTGTCCCCCATGTGGGGGCTGCAGAGGATTGAGTTGGGAAGAGCAAGCATTCAGGGGCGGCTGGAAATGGGACCAGGAGGGACCAGATAGCAGGTGACAGTGGGCCCCATGTGCCAGGCTGGGAGGCCAATGTCCTGCTGGGGGCAGG